ATTGCCTTTGGCAGGGTTACTAAGTGACTAGAAATCACAGGATGGCCCACCAAGATGTGCTAATAATGGTTGTTTGGGAAGTTCCTCAGAAGTGTTACTTAGAAAGCTCCGAGGGAGAGGAGGATTTAAGGTATTTCAGGAAGATGATCTTATCGAAAGCCCCAAATCAGCCAGGAATGCACTATTGTATCCGAGCGGTAGGCCGGTCAAGCCAGACACCAAAATTCAGGGGGCAGCAAGGTGCCAGAAAATCCCCGACAACAAGATAACCTTCTAATATGTGTGGTGAAATAGTGGTATGACTGTTAGGGGGACCAATTATTTCCTGGTTGTATCTGAGGCCTGCTCCACAGGGGGACTATGTATCTGATACTATAACACTGGTCAAAAGCCTATGACTGAGTAGATCACAGGTCCTAGCGGGAAACCCACTATTGTTTTGCTAAATGGACATACAGTCAAAAGACCTTCTAAGTAGTTACGCTTACATCAAATAGACTAAGTTGCTCTTGGCCTTGGTTAAGGCAACTTCTTTTGGCTGCTCTTGTTTGGAATATTAAAACAGTGCTCGGTGGAGTTCAGTGTCTCAAGATAGAGCATCCCTAGAAAACCAAGAAAATGAGAGGCTGTTTAAAAAGGGAAGATATCTGAAAGGGCTCCCGGAGAATGAGACTCATTCAGAAATTGTTTATTTTTCTCTTCATATATTTGTCTCTGATTTAAAATTTCATACAGCGGAAAATGGCACACAAAAGGAAGTAAAAACCACATTTCAGTTTATTTCTTCCCAAGGATGACCACCCCCAGCCTTTTGAGGTTTTTCTTTCCTAGACCCTGCCTAATTTACAAAGCAATGCCATTCCCACATGAAGCCGTACAAACACTGTAAGAAGTACCCTGCCTGTGCCCACCATACACGGACACACACACACACACACACACACACACACGCATGCTTAAAACCACTAAGTAGTCCATCTTATGAGTTTGAAATAATATGCTCAATCAAAGCTGTTTTGAGGGATGTTTTGCTGGTTTTTAGTAGTTCAACCACTGTAAGTAATTTTGCAAAGAATAACCCTGGCCATATATTTTTGGGATTTCTTTAGTTGTTTTTTTTTTTTTAATAATTTTTAATTATATTGTTTTCATTAGAATTTATGTTTATTCTCATTTTTCTTTTTAAATGTTTTTTTGTTTGTTTGAAATGGGGTCACACTATGTAGCTCTGACTGCCCTGGAACTCACTGTGTAGACCAGAGATTTGCCTGCCTCTGCCTCCTGACTGCTGCGACAAAAGGCCTGGATCACTTCGCCTGGCTATTCTTATTTTTCTTAAGACACACAAAGGAGTCTTCCTTCTGGATGATTGTCTTTTATTACATACTCCAACATTTGCCTTTTTAAATGACTATTGAACCCTATTTAAGCATGATAAAATTCCACTGTCCTGCTCTCGCTAACAAGATTTCATGTGTCTTGCTATCACCAAAGCGGAGACACTTCCTCGTCTTCAGTATTACTATTTTTAATTATTTCTTCTCTCTCTTTCAGCCCACACCTTACTTTTGGGAAGGGAGATTTGGGGAGCATTCCCTCTTCCCACCCCACCCTACCCCCACTTTTCTGAAGGGTCTGAATATGCTTTATAAGTGATTCTACAAAATTATGCTAAAACATAATTTTAGCATACAGCGACATTTAGAGGATCCCCTGTGGTTCTGATAAATTCATTTATTATCTAGATAAGTAATCTTATTACTTAACATTTGGTCTGTGGTGAGTGTTGGTGAGCCCATTTCTGGTGAGTAGGTAGGGAGTAATCCCTGGGGCCTGGCAGGTTGAGGCAGCTTGGGTATTTCCTGCCTCTGGTCCTCTCTCCCATCCCTTTAGTACGCACCACCCCACAGACAATGGACTAAGCATCAGACTAATTTCCCAGCAAGGTTCTCACGCTGCCAAAGACTGGGGCTTCTGTGGAAGGCAGGAGGTGGGAGGCAGCGTCCTGCAATGCGTGGTTTTTCCTCATCAAGGATTGGGAGGTGGAATATCAGGGGAAAGATATGAATTGAACAGATAGTTGTTTTTTTTTTTTAATAAATAGGAAATGTTGTTGTTATATGTAACAATTTAAGAAAAGTAAAGTTTAATTTTAAAACGTCAAAGACTCTTTTTAGGTTTACTTATGTTTGAAACTTTGTTGCTAACTCATTGTTCAAAACTTGATTTTCTTTTAAAAAAAATTGCATTTTATTTATTTATTAAATATGTGTGTGCCTTTGTGTGCATATGTGTGTGTGCGTGCTTGTGCACAGCCTCAGGCCTGCGTGTGTACAGGTGAGTGTAGAGGCTGGAAATTAACCTCTGTGTTGTTTCGTAGATGCTGTCCACCTTAGTTTTGAGACAGGGTCTGTGACTGGGACCTGAGGGCTCACTAGTTAGGTTAGGCTGGCAGGCCAGTGAGCCAACCCAACAGATCCACCTGTTTCTGCATCCCCAGTGCTAGGATTGCAAGCACGGCTACCACCCCTGCCTTTTTCTACTATGCCGAGGATGGAACCTGATCCTCACCTTGCCAAATGAACACTGTATCAACAGGGCTTTCTCCTCAGCCCCAAAGCAAGTTTTTCTCTTGCTTCCCTTTGGACACGGATGCTGCTAGAACATTGTTAATCTCCACACTAAAGGCAAAGTAGGAGCATGCCAAACACAACTGTAATCCCAGCACACAGGAGACTAACGCAGAAGGGATGCGAGTTCAAGGGCAGTTTGGGCTGCATAGCAAGACCTTGTCTCTTGAAACCAAAAATAAACAAAGAAAAATAAAATTAAAAAAATAAAGACAAAGTGGAAAGGTGCAGAAATTAACCGTAAAATAAAAAAAATCTTGTTTCTAAAATCTTTAAACTCATAATAAAGAAGCAAAAATTTGATAACAATAGGTTAAAATGAGACCAACTTTCACCCAATAGGATCTTATTAAGTTTTGTTGATCCATCAGCGCTTTTGGCCTCCTCTGTGCCAGTGAACCTCTGGGGTATTTGCTGGTCGAGGAGTATACATGTCAAGACCAGAGATAAGCTTTTATGCTATAAATTCCTATACAGTAATCGCAATTCATGTATCCAGCTACAAAATGTATCATTACCTTATGTTTACCATGGATTAAAAAAGATGTGTCCTATGGAACTTTGATCTGCTTGAAATGCTACAGGGCCACCCTAATTGCAGTAATGTTGTTATGTAAAACAATGTATCTTAGAATCAGTGAGGCGGGATACTTTTCTTCAATACACAGAAACAAAGAAAACTGATATTTTAACAGGCTGTAAATGATCTTATTTTTCTTTTATTTATGTACTATGGGTACATATATGTGCCTGGATGGGGATTTATGTTTGTGAGAAGCCAGAAGAGGCCTGGAGGGCTTTAGGCATTTGTGAGCTGCCTGAGACTGGAATCTGGAACTGCGCCTGGGTCCACAGAAGAGCACTGCCTCCTCTTAACCACACAGCTACCTCTCCAGACAGGCTTGTTTCTTTATCTGAAACATTCAACCCTGTATGAAATAAAAATATTTCTACAGTTGGAAGTATGGCTCACTGGTAAAGTGCTTGCTTAGATATACAAGGCCATATGTTCAATCTGCCATGTTGAAAAAAAGTAGGAAGGAAGGAAGGAGGGAGGAAAGGAAGGAAGGAAGGAAGAAAAGAAAAAAAAAGAAAAGAAAGACAGCAATCCACCAAGTGTGGTAATTCCAAAAACAAATCTCCCTTATTTTTTAAAAGAATTTCTAGTGTTTTATTTATTCTCTGAGTAAAGCAATCCAGTCCCTGAGTTGCTGCCCCACTAAGGTACCGGGGGTAGGGAAGATTCCCTCCTGAACACCTGCTGCAGACTTCTCTTTAGAAACCTCTCGTTCCCACTGTAAGGTTCCAGAAGGTTCCTCTACTCTCTAGAAGTGGATTGCATCTCCTAACTTTGACCCTGAGCTAAAGTCTAAAGCTTGGCCCCACTCAACACATTCCTGTCTATGTCTGTGTATCTGACCTCTGAGATTCCAGTTCCCTGGTTCTCTGGGTCATGTTTAGTGAGTGGCCTCTTGCTGCAAGATTTATGGAATCCTACCCATATTATGATTAATATTGTCGGTGCTCTGCTAAGGTCATGGTAGTGTGCAGGGGGTTGTGTACAAAGGACCATAGTCCGCCATCTTTATCTAGGTGACCTTTCAGTGTGCCTCCTTCCATTTTACCATGTACATGTTTGCATAATTGGGATAGTTGTTATGCATCACTTGTGTGAGGCTTCCTTCTCCCAGCATCATGTTATGCAAAATGTGTTGCTAAAGGCTTTCAACTAGTTGACAGTTTTAGTTTGTAGATGGATTAGCTATTCCCTTATGCATTGTTATTTGGGTTGTATCTATTTTATTTCTGCAATTTTAAACAATGTTAAAATGAACAGTTTCTGCATGCAAACCCCTGTTCACATTTTGATTTAAGGATGCCATGGCTTTAATGAAATTGACTTGCATTGTTAAGTGTCTTTCAAGGGAAAAGGGAATGATGGCAAATTTGTAATTCAACCAAAGAAACAAGAGTAAATATGGGGAATGGATGTGTTCATGTAATAAAATGGTATATAACATAATATAACATAAAATAATATATGTTGATCTACTTAGCATTAAATGTTATTCATGTAGAAATGCCATGCATGGTATTTAGATACTATTGTGATACTATTTTCTTAATCTAAAATTAAATTGAGACCTGAAAGCACACAGTTGCTGGTGACAATCTGAGGTGTGTTTGGCTTCAGGAATCCACTGTCTGCACCTAGCAGCGCTGCAGCCTGGAGGCTCCTGGCTTTCTTACATGCACCCTTGTCTTCCTCCTGTGTGTGGTGGGTGTGCACAGATCATCAAGTCAGATCTGTGCGCTTTGAACACCAAGCAGACATTTCTGGTTTTTGTTTTGCTTTCTGTGTGGAACCAGTTCCCAGGACTTCCCTTGGCTGCGTGCAGTTTGCCTCTTCATTCAGTAAGACTGGCCCCAGCAGAGATGCAGACCCAGAGGGTCCCGGGGAGGAAGCGTGGCCGGCCTCCGCTGCACTCCACGCCGGCGCAGATGGCAGTCCATAACCTCTATTCTGCGTCTGCGGGCTCTGTACCGGCAGTGACAATTCCAAAGAAGAGAGGGCGGAAACCCAGGTACAAGGTATGCCTCCTCGTCTCCTTATCCCGGGCCACGTCAGGCTGGGGCACTGGGGGCTGGGGCACAGCTCTGCTGCCGAAAGACCATAGAAGACAGAGGCCTGGGTAAACACAGGCTGAAAAATGAGTCTCTCAATAGAGCATGTGATGGGCAAGGTCTTATTGGACAATACAGCACATAATGCAGGCTTTTTTTTTTTTTTTTTTAAGTGGAGAAAGCGAATAGCAGCAGACGGGGAAGCTGGAAGGCGAGCAGATTTGAGGGCCGTTGCTAAACACGTGTTATTAAGCTTGCATCTAAATGAGAGTGGCAGGCACGGAGCTGCCCCCTGCCTACTCTCACCAGGGTGGCGCTTGAAGCCACCTCTCCAACTTTCTCCTCCTCTGTTTTCGTGGAAGCAGCTGACATTCCCGAGACATTTAAAATAACGCCATGAGTGAGCCAGTGTCAGAAGATGTGTAGAAAAACTTCCGGATAGAGGCTTAGCATGGCACTAGAGGGGTGTCAGTTATAGTCTCCCGCTTATAAAAGATGCTGATGTCAAGCTCGGCTGCGAAGAGGCAGCGCCATGGCAATGAGGGTCCCGGGAGCACCGTAAGAACTAGCAATACGGAGAGGAGAGGCCGTGGGTGGGAAAAAGGCCTCATGATGTAACCTAAGTCCTACAACCCAGCCCAGTCGTCAGCCCCTGTGCTATGACAGATTGTAAGAGGGGTTGGCTACCTGAGGGAAAACAGAAGAGTACAATCAAGCTCGTTCTCTGCCAGCCTCCGGGCTTTAGAAGAAAGGCATCAGTAGTCGTCTTCCACCGATTTTTTTTTTTTCGTGAAATAAAAGCTGGTGTTTCCATCTTGAGACCTGAATTCTGCAACTAAAATGCAAATTGGCAATTAACTCTCAAGCATTAGGAAGATGTATGGAAATTCTTTCAGGTCAGCAGAAAGAGCTTGTGGAAGATGGGGTAATGAATTCAACCTTTGTCCCTCGCTCCCTTGGCAATCCTTCCAAATGCCAAAAAAAAAAAAAAGAAAAAAAAAAAGGCAAAAGCAGTTGTGGGGAAAGGCTGGTTATTCAGACTTTGGGGTCATTTGCTTCAGTTTTCCTAGCATTCTTTTGAGATTTCATTTATTTTTATTTTCTGTGTATGAGTGTTTGCTTGAATGTGCATAGCAGGTGTACGCAGTGCTTGAAGAGGCCAGAAGAGGGTGTTGAATACCCTGCAACAGGAGTAACAGATGGTTGTGAGCCACTGGCTTCTGAGAATTGAGCTTGGGTCCGCCACAAGATCAGCTGGTGCTCTTAATGGCTCCACCATCTTTCCAGTCCCTTACTTATTATTATTATTTTTTAATTATATGTGTGTGTGTGTCAGCCATCTTTCCGGACCCTTATTTATTTTTTTAATTGTGTGTGTGCATGTGTGTGTGTCTGCATGTCTGTGTGTGGGTATGTACATGTGAGTACAGGTGCCCACAGAGGCTAGAGGCATTGGCTTCTCCTGATTTTTAGTTACTGGAGGTTGTGAGCTGTGTGAATGCTGGAACCAGGATTTGGGTCCATCTCACTAGCCCATAGGGTTATGGGTTTTTTAGTTAGTTTGTTTTAATTTTTTAAAGCTTTTCTTGATGAAAATAGGGGAAAGTCTTCGGTCTTACTTTTTCTGACAGACATGGGATTTACTCACTTATAAGCAGATATTAGCCATATAACACAGGATAACCAAACTACAATTAACAGACCCAAAGAAGCTGAGTAACGAGGAGGACCCGAGGGAGGATGCTTAAATCTCACTCAGAAGAGGAAATAGAATAGACAGCAGGAGCAGTTGAAGAGAGGGAACAGGGTAAGAGAGGGAGCTCAGAGAGAAACAAGGGTGGAACTCGGACCTGGGGGGAGCAGGCTGGGAGGACAGAGGGCCTGCAGAGAGAAGAGAAACCAAGTGTGGGGACATATCTATGACAAGCTGGAGACCTACGACAGGGCAGGCTTCTGAGAGGATATGGGGGTTGCTCTAGCTGAGACTCTTGCTAGCAGGGTTCATGGAGACTGAAGAGGACACCCTCTAAATAGACTGGACTCCTAGCAGAGGCAGGGGAACACCCACCACCCACAGAAACTTAGACCCCCAAATTTACCCTGCCTACAAGATATGCAGGGATAAAGGTAGAAGAGAGACTGAGGGAATATACAACCAATGCCTGACCCAACCTAAGACCCGCCCATTGGAGAGTGCCAGCCCCTGACACTATTAATGATACTTTGCTATGACTGCAGACAGGAACCTAAGCTATCCTCTGAGCGACACCACCCAGAGCTGTTTAAAACAAATGCTGAGGCTCACAGCCAGACAGCTCATGGAGTCTTGTGGAAGAATGGGGTAAAGAAGAGAAGAATCCAGAGGGGACAGGAACTCCATAAAGGTTCCAAAAAAAGCCTCTTTTGCCTGTGCCAATGCCAGCATTAGAAACGTGTATCTGGTCTCAGGAGCTAGCCTGGAGACCTGTGCCTGCTCAGGGGCCTGTGCCATTGCTGGAGTCTGGGGCTGGAGCAGGGCAGGCTCTCCATTTCACGGAGCCAGGGAGCAAGTCCAAGTTCCAAGGAAACATAGTAAAAGCTTTGCTGACCTTTTTCCTGGTCCCCCGGGGGGCTGTGACCCAAGAGTAAATATTACCCACAGACAGTATGTCTTGGGCCAAGAAAAATGGCAATTCGCTTCATGGCATTTTTATTTTCCAAGTTTCCTCCCTCCTAAAAAGGAGTTTTCGGTGTCCCTGACACCCATGGGCACCTCAGAATAGGATGCAGCTTAGGTTGGCTGGCACACAGACCCTGTACAAAGCCAGCGGGTCTGCTCCCTCACAACGAATCCACCTCACGGGGATTTTTGTTTGTTTGTTTGTTTGTTTGTTTGTTTGGTCTATAGTCGGGAGAGCGAATGGACAGTACCTCAGAGAATTCAACCCAGACATAGGCTTTAAGCTTAGTGTCTTAGAAGAACACTTGCAAACCAGGTGCCAGTCTGTGTGACCCTGTCACCCACCAGTGATGACACAGGAAAAATAAGAAGCACGTGAAAGTCTTCACTTAAAATACGTTCGCAGTTGGCAAAATAAAGTTGGTAACCCAGCTTCTCAGTTTTATTTTGGCAACACCCCATTTTGCCATTAATGACAGGACTCTAACTGTGGAAGAACCAGTGAGTAAATTGTACAGTCTCACTCTACTTACCAAATGGCCACTAATTTGGCAATTTAAACTATCTGTTTAAAATTAAACAAGTTGGGAGTCAGAACTTGTTTGTTTGTTGTTTTGTTTTGTTTGTTTGTTTAAAAGCCTGACTAAGCAGGATAGGATCTTACCTGTTCTGGCCTTAAAGGTCTTGTATTTTATTACTAAGAAAATGCTTCTTGGACTTGGATACAGTGGCACAAGTTTGTATTCCCAGCTGTGTGGAGGCAGGAGGATTCTTGGAGTCCATGAGTCTGAGATCAGTTTGGGCAAAACAGTAGGACCCTGTCTCAAATAAATAAATAAATAGCCAAATAAATTTTAAAAAATTAAAATAGGAAATGGATTTGTTGGGGTGAGTGTGAAGGAGGAAGAGAGGCAATAGGGGTGAATAGGAGCAAAATGCAGGGCAGATATGTATGAAACTGCTAAAGAACAAGTAAAAATTATTTGTAAAAGAAAGGAAAGGAAGGGCTTCCATGCCCTTTATCAGAGCTGTTTATGCTTTCTGTAAACACTCCTTGCAAGTTCAGGTCTAGCAGGTTCTACTCTTAGATACCAAGGGGAAGGCATTTGGAGGGGGGAAGACACTAAAAGGATAATGATAACTATTGCTACAATCTGATAATTTATTAACACAATAAATATACTACTATCAAACATCACAAAACAACAGTATTCTAAGGACATGATCATAATAGTTATGTTGTTGAGCTTTTTTTTTTCTGATAAATTCTGAGGCTGCCTCTTTCTTCTATGTGCTAGGTCTGGGCCAACTGATAACACATCCAGGGCTCTGTCAGTTCCCTCTGTATCTGCATAGGCAGCAGCTCTCTCTGGCCAGAGAGTGACACAGGCGTCTCTCTTCTGGACTTGAGCCTAGTTGACAGTAGGACATCTGACCGCTCCTGAGACTCAGGCTAACATGGGTGAGCTGCAGAAAAGAAAGGCTCACACCAGAGGGCAGACATCAGTCCCCTGGAGTTCAGGGCCCATGCCCTATCCCGTGGCACCTGTGGCTGAGCCTCTTGCAGCCTTGGGCCTGTTGCCATATTCCTGGGGCCTGTTCACTACTGGGCCTTGCAGCCCACTGTCGCTTTGGCAAAGGAGGCTGCTGACCTCTCAACACCACAGTTTCTAGAAAGAGCCATACTCTGCCATGCCAGATATTTTGAATATTTAAAATATTGAATAAATATTCCAAAAGGAATATGTATCTCTTAGCTTCTTGGTCAGGTCCTTAACCCAGAAACTACCAAGACCAGCAGGCACATTTCCCTTATATTTCATGGCTAGGAAACACCTTGATCTCTATAAGGAGCCGGGAGAAGGCTACGTGAAGCAAACCCGAGCTTCTGTCCTGTAGGTGCGCTGACTTTAATATCTTCAAGTAGTGGACCACCATCCTGTTTGTCAAGGCTGTGAACTAAAAGCCAGCTTTTGAAAACAAACAAACAAACAAACAAGATTATAATGATTTTTCTCGTGTCATTCACTATGTAACAGCAACAATGGGTGACATGCTTTGAAATTGAATCAGCATTTTAAAGTATTTTCTCCTCCCTTTTTTTCTTTTTGGGTGGGAGAATTTTACCAATTTTATTTCTAGACTTTTGTGTCTTTTTTTAAATTTATTTATTATGTATACAATGTTGTGTCTGCATGTGGACCTGCATGCCAGAAGAGGGCACCAGATCTCATTGTAGATGGTTGTGAGCCACCATGTGGTTGCTGGGAATTAAACTCAGAACCTCTGAAAGAGCAGTCAATGCTCTTAACCTCTGAGCCATCTCTCCAGCCCTCTCTTCACTTTCTTAAGCCTGTAAACCTATACAGTAAACCCAGGCCTAACTTGTAACATTTACAAAGTTACAAGGTGAAAATGTCCCCAAGCTGTCAGCTCTGAGCCACCGACAAATGAAGCTGCCCATGGAGTGGACAAAGCTGCCCTGCAGCTCACCCTCAGCTGTACAGATGCAAAGTGAACGGGATTAGAGGGTGATGGTTCTGAGCACTTGTTCCTTTGTAAATATACTCAATTCAACTGTAAATCTATGCACTTCGAGCCTTAAACAACAGCAATGTTAACTTGTGTCTTAGTTTTTCATTGCTGTGGAGAGACACTATGACCACTCTTAAAAAGGAAAACATCTCTTTGGGGCTGGCTTACAGCTCAGAGGTTTAGTCCATCACCCTAGTGGTGGGAAGCATAGCGGCATGCGGGCAACCATGGTGCTGCAGAGGTAGCTGAGAGTTTTGCCTCTGGAGCAGCAGGCAGCAGGAACAGAGATTGACACTGGGCCTGGCTTGAGCCTTTGAAACCTCAAAGCCCACCCCCCCCAGCGCACTACACACTTCTTCCAAAAGGCCACACCTCCTAATAGTGCCACTCCCTATGACCCTATGGGGGCCGTTTTTATTCAAACCACAACTATCAGCTTAGAGGTATCTCTGAAGATTGCATGTTTCTCACGAACTAATGTGCGTCAGTTCCGGCACCCCCAGTTGCGGTTCTGCTGTGTGCTGGAATCACATGCCTGTGGTCACGTGTCCAGTGTCCCCTTTCTCAACAACAGGGTTCATCATTTTTACTCCATGGCTACTGAAGCACAAAACTTGTCTCCCTCATCAGTTTCTGTAACCATGTACCAAGCATCCTTAGGCTCATGTACACATCTGGTTTCTGATCCACGTCTTTCAGTCTAGGCGTTTTGTCCCCTCGTCCCTGTCCCTCCCCTCTCTCTGTACCCACAGGGCACAACATCATTCTTAATTGTTTTCTTCTTGGCTTCCTCAGTCAGGAGGAGATGAAATCTTTCTTTCCCACTCTAGGCAAGATAGCAGCGTGCGTAATCCCTACAGTACTTGTAGTACCTTCCCACTCTAGGAAAACTCTCAACTCTGAGCCTGTAGGATATAACACCTTCACAGCTCTGAGAGGAGGCCTCCTACGCTGCAGCCCCAACCCCTGATTAGTTGAGGAGCTTTGGAGTCTGAGCTCTGATCCTTCTCTGTTTCTTCTTTTCTTCCAATGAGTAGTCAGTCACAGCAGGCAATAAATCTTTTAAAAGAGATTTATTGCAGGGATGAACTCAGGAGAGGAGGGATGAATCCAGGAATAGCAGCCTCAGCTCCCAGGAGAAAACAGCAGGGGACTGGCAGACACAGCCTTTATGTAGGAATTATTAGGGAGCGGAGCTTTCTAGAGCAGGGGTTTCCAGAGGGTAGATTGGTGGAATTTCAAGTCCTGAGCTTGAGGGAGTCAGGGATTGGTGGGCTTTCCTGTTCAGGGATTGGTCAGTTTTCTTGCTCGAGGATGGGTGGGTTTTAGTGGAAGGTTCAGGGATGAGTCCGTTTTTCTGCTCAGGGATTGGTGGATTTTTGTCCAGACTTTTCACCTCAAATTTGCATAATCTTGGATGAGTCCTACTGAAAGGCCCGAGACGATGGTTACAGAGGTCTGGGGGAGGGGAGAAGGAGCTGGGCTGCTGGAGCTTCCTCAGGCAGGGGTCTGGCCACTTTTCTGCCTTGAGGGGTTGGTTGTAAAGTCCAAAATTTACAAAGAGTGAAGGCAGTAGGCTGAAGCATGAAAGGCTGTCAGCATCATGGACAGCCCCCATGGCAGCAGCAGTAGGCGTTCTGAGACAGGAAAGATGTCTGGTTCCCATGGCAGTCAGCTGAGGCAGGAAGAGTCACCATGGACAGCTCCCGATGAGCCGCTGACAGGGGCTGCCATTTTGTCTCCTACCTCCACAGCCCCTGAGGCAGGAAGGGGAACTGATAGCAAGTCGCCTGAATCTTTGGTGGCCCACTGCTCAAGAGCTAAACATAGCTTTGGGATGATGCAGTGGGCCGCCACAGCAGGGGGCCGGGGGCAGCAGGGCTGGGGAGGGGCGTGTAATGGGCCACTTGGCTTCCCCGATGCCGCAAGGGGGGTGGCAGCGGGTCACCATGGCTTGGATGGCTTGGGGCGTGATGGCTTGGGGCGGCAAGCCACCTCAGCTCGTTTACAAATTTCCCAAAGTACACCTCCTCAATTATTTCCTAGCTCCTTCCCTTCCTCATTGCCAGTACCAGCTTGTCTTACTTCCTAACGTTCTGGAACACGTATTTTGTTGTGTTCTTGCCTCTCCTGCCCCTCTACAGTACAAGCTTCTTGAGAGTAATTTTTGGTTTGTTTTATTCCTGGTTGTATCACAAAACAGCTAGAGAAAGTCTGGCTTGAAACAGGATGATACATATCTGTACAATGAGTAGATGATTGAATATGGCATAATGGTTACGATGATTTGAATGAGGATGGTCCCCACAGGCTCATCTGTTTCAGTGCTTAGTCACCAGGAAGTGGATCTGTTTGGAAAGGATTAGGAAGTGTGGCCTTGTTAAAGAGGGTTTGGCCTATTGCAAGAGGTTTGCCACTGAGAGTGAGCTTTAAGGTTTCAAAGGCACAGGCTAGGGACAGTCTCCCTCTGTGTCTGTTGCCTGCATATCAGGATATAAGGCTCTCAGCTCCAGCAGCATGCCAGCCTGCTTCCTGCCATGATAATCATGGACTAACCTTCACAAACTGTAAGACAAGCCCTCTATGGAATTTTTTCTTTTATAAGAGCTGCCTTGGTTGTGGTGTCTTCTCAGAGTACTAGAACAGTGATTAAGACAATGGATGCACAGCATTTGAAACACCTTTTCCATCACGATTATTAGTTCATCCTTAGAGTCTAGAAGAAAGTTAGGATATATATGCATGTGAGTTAACAATGGAACACAATACCTTGCTGTTCAAAGCATGTCCATGGATCTGAAGAGATGTCCTACCTGGGAGGGATGGGGGAGTGGGAACAGTCATTAGAATGCAGAATCCTACCCAAGAACTCAAAATCAAAATTTGGCATTTTTATGAGACCCACAAGAGGTTGTTTGAAAAGGTTGAAAAGCTTGAGAATTGAGCAATGGCTCTTGAACTGGGTCTACAGACTGAAAATCTTATAAACTCCTGTTGCCCACTCTTATAAATTGACTTAATTCTTCTGGAGTAGGGTCTCCACATAAGTCACTGGTGAAAAGGAGAAGCTAATGACTTATCCTACCTTCAACTTCTGTCTAGCCTCTGTCCCCATTCCCCCCCCCCCCCCCCACACACACACAACTGTCCATCACTCTGACCCAACCTAGTTTTAGGTGCAACTTGTCTTCACCAATTCCATTAGTGTAAATTTCATCTTCTCACATGCAGTTTCAGGGGAGAACTTCACAGTGGTGGCTGTCCATTCCTGTCCCCATCTAGACTGTGTCTGATGGTCTGCTATAGGAAGTCAGCAACCTGGAGAGTGCCTGTGAGCTCAGCAGAGAGTGAGAAGAACATCATGGTCCTTCTGGTGGATATAGGGAAGGCCCTGTCACTGGGATTCCACAGAGCACAGAGGTGTGGACACTGCCCTGCAGCCTGCATCCTATTTTCAGAGGGCTCGTGTGTTTCAAATGTTCCTATACCCACTGCGTGGTGCTGACATTTCCTGGGTAATGCCAATGTAAGGATACAGAGCTATCTTCTGAGTATAATCCAAATAAGAATTTTGAACATGAACATGAGCTTCTTTCCCAAATCTGAGGAGTTGGAAGGTGGAGTAATGAAAGAGTAATGAGGGTTAGCAGGCATCGGGAAAGATGGGGCTGGTACAGAGAGCATTTCCAGATGTTGACTGATTAAACAGACTCTCCTGCAGATCAAGTCTCCAGTGCTCATGACTCCCTTGGCCCTGTCACCTCCACGGAGCACCCCGGAACCTGACCTCAGCTCCATTCCTCAGGATGCGGCCACCATCCCCAGCCTGGCGGTCCCACAGGCTCTCACAGGTACGTCAGTAGAATGGACTCCAAGGTAGCCATGGTCTTCCAGTATCAAGGTGTCCTTTCGTCCAATCGTTATTTTATAAGTCTAAGTTTCTCTGAGATATTTCACTGGGTGTGATGTCATGTGCCTTTAATCCCAGAAGGCAGGTTCATCTCTGTAGACCAGCCTGGCCAACAGAGTGAGTTCCAGGACATCCAGATGTCCTGTTTATCAAAAGGAAAGGAAAGGAAAGTCCTCCTTTAATACGCCCCTGAAACAGTGACCTCTGAGGTGAGACCCTCATTTCATGGGAAGACAGACATTTTAGAGAGGCCATTGATGTATGGAAATATATGTGACCACTGTTACCAACATTCAGTTTTACTTTATCCTTGTAAAAATTCTATTTCTTGGATCTGTGTTACACAGTCAACAATACTCGTGAGGCGGAACCTCACCTTGCCACTGGATGGGAAGGAAATAACGTTTCCTTCTTACTGTGGGGTTAGTTTTTCTCAAGAGGCAAGCTAGGAAAGTCTTCATTTGTTAAGGATTAGGCATTGAGAGCAGAGTAACTGGGCTTTTCTAAGCAGGTCGTGATTAATATTATTGTTACTTTTAAATCTTCAAACAGCTGGCCTGAAAGTAAGAAGACAGGATACATTATATCAGAACAGTCTGGAGCCAGGCTGACCTGTTGGGCATTTGTTGTCAAATTACAGGTGAAATAGTTGTGAATGGGCACATATGCTGTCCTCTTAGATGGGCATGAAGTTGAACATGTGTCCACTGATACTGAACCTGCCAGCCAACTGTTACATTAATATTATTATAATCACATAAATATAATTATTACTAGTTACATAATAATAATTAATAAATAATTCCCCAGTCATCTCAGTAGAAACATTGTCTCTAGAAAAGAACTTATGTTGGTCCCCAAGACGGCTCAATTGGTAAAGGTGCTTGCTGCCAAACTAGCTTGGTGAACTAAGTTCAATACCTGGGACTCACATGGTAGAAAGTCAGATCAGACTCCCTCAACGTGCTCTCTGATCTCCACACATGTGTAACTGGTACACACACACACACACACACACACACACACACACACACACACACGCCCATGTGCGCACCCACACTACAATGTGAAAAGGGATCTGTGAGCTATTTATTTTCCCTTTTAATTGTAAAATTCATAAAACTTCCCCCTCCGTATGGTCTGCTGAAAATGAATTGAACATGGAAATCCAGTTTTAGGGCCATTCTGACAGTTTTCTGTAGATTCAGATTATACAAATATGACACTCACCTATAAAATATACCCAATACATTAACACAGTCAAAATGTAAATGAACACAGTTTATTTTTGGAAGTTTATGGCGTGATATATCATCTTTAGGGTGTGAGGAATTTGGGGTTGAGAGGTGGCTCAGTGGTTAAGGGCATTTGATGCTCTTGCAGAGGACTGGGGTTCAGTTCCCAGCACCCACGTGATGGTTCACATCTGTTTGTAACTCGGGTTCCAGAGAACATGACGCCAGGCCCCAGGGCCCTGCAGGCACACGGTACGCAGACACATGTATAGGCACGCATACATATACACATGAATAAAAATAACAAACTTTCTAAGTGTGCAGTTGCTGGTGGGTTTTGACCATTATTTTATGAAGTTATAAACAGCAACCCCACTGGAACTTCATTCTACCTCTAGAATGATTAGTGTCACACCAGGTTTTTTTATGGGTGCAAATTCACAGAGAAATTAGCCAGCTTTCCTTGGACAAGGAGAGAGATTTTGTTGTGTACCTGCCCAAACAAAAATACCTTTTATGCACTGTTCATATGGGCTGTAATAATTGTCTTCAGAACAGTTTAAGCCAGTGAGAGGGGATCTAACCCTTCCTCCACCCACTGCCATGAGGTCACCTCCAAAGCAAGCTCAGGCAATGGTGAAGTTCAGCTTTTCAGTCTTTTTATCTTTTTACACTGGAAGATCAGTCCTTTGTCTGCCCTTTACAGCTTTCCCACAGCCAGGGCCGGGTGCAGGCCTGAGGTGCCCCCATCCGACGCTGCCGGCAGGCCTGGTGGACTTCCAACGCTAGACATCTCACACCTGCTGTTCTCTGTGTCCACAGTGTGCCTCTACGTTAACAGGCAGGCTGACGCAGGGCCGTACCTGGAGAGGAGGAAGCTGCAGCAGCTTCCGGAGCGCCTGGGGCCTGAGCGGCCTGCCGCTGTCCTGCAGCAGGCGGTGCAGGCATGCATCGACTGTGCGCACCAGCCCAGGCTGGTCTTCTCCCTTGTCAAGCAGGGCTACCGCGGCGAGCTGGTGTCAGGTAGGTTCTAGGGAGGTGGGAGGGGTCTCTCTCTGCAGCGGTCCCCGCTGGGCTCCAGGGCCTCTGTAACCTAGTGAGCAGAGTGCATCCCATGGGACGACTTGAGAAACAGCTGCCAGACCTAGACAGCAAGACTGACCTCCTGGGTCTTCACCCTTGACCCTCCTGCCGTTTCTGTACTTCCAACACTGTACCTTTGCCTCCAAACATATCCACAAGGCAGCCCCAAACACAGTGGACTTTAAAATAAAATCATATTTATTTTTTGCCCTAAGTTCCCCATTGGCTTCTATGTCCAAGCAAAAGCTCACATCTTTACAAAAGCCCACTGGCCTATGTGAAGTGCTTCTGGCTTTCTCTTAAAGCCCTGGGTCACTTCTCTCTTGTCCTATATTTAGGTCAGGCTAGATGGCTTCCCAGATATCCTTCCTGCATGCTTTAACTGTCCTCTCACCTCGGGGCCTTTGCACTTGCTGTTCTGGAATATCTTACCCTAGTGGCCCATGCGACATGCTCCTGGAAACCCTTTCAGGTTTCTATTCAAATGCTCTCTCTTCTCCTGACCTTGATGTGAATGCCAGACCTTCTTCTCTCTATTTCAACACTCACTGCCATGGAGGACAATCTCACAACAGGGAAAATCTCACAATTTCAACCTATCTCGGGCGGGGGGCAGGTCTTTAAACAGGGTCACAGCTCTATTTGGGGTTCAGCCCTGCCCTGCCAGCTTCCAGAGGAACAGATTGGCCTGCAGAGTGGGAGGGGCAGAGGACAAGAGTCCTGACTCTTTCAAATCTTTTGCCTCTCTATCCCGCACTACACAGCTCAGGCCACTCCCGGGACCACCAGGCTTTGCCTTGTTGAGGATATATCGGAGAGCCAGGCTGGTGTCTTCTCTGGCTCAGCTTCGTGGCTGTGGCCTTAGCACCAGGAAAATAGCAGAAGAGTTCTTGGCGATAGACTGCAGGGTTAGCTAAGAAAGCGTCAGGGGAAGCAGCCATTGGCTTGCATGCTTGAAGTCCTAGAACTGCAGAGACGGAGGGAGGGGTTGTCTTGAGTTTGCGGCCAGTGTGCGCTACACAGAGAGTTCTAAGACATCTGTGCTACACAATGAGACACTGTCTCAAGAACGAAAGAAAGGAGAAAAAAGGGGAGGGGAGGAAAGGAAGAGGGGAGGAGGGAGAAAGGGGAGAAGAGGAAGATGGAAGGAGGGGAGGCAGGAAGAGAGAAGGAAGGGAGAAGAGGAGGAGGGGAGGGAAGTGGCCTGGTGTCTTGGAGAATGCCATAGCATTGAACCAGTGCCTCTTGGTTGAAGCCGCTAAGTATGGGGTAGCTTTTCGTGTTACAGTTGGAAATGGAGGTTCGACGAGGCTACAGGACAGCATCGATGTGGCCCAGAGAGAGGGGGGACTCAGGAGAGACAGCCAAGTGCCCACCCTACCTTTAGAAGTGGATCCTCGAGGCACTTCTCCACAAATACCCCTACAACACAGCACACAGAGGTTGGTTATATATGGCAGAATCAGGGTGGAACCTGAAGGCTAGAGGAGGCCACCTAAACGCTGAAGGGAGTGACATCACAGAGCCCCACAATTTCTCCCAGTACGCCTGTTATGCCTGGCCTTAGCCACACTCCTGAGAGGGAGAATTTATGAACAGCCTCTGGAAAGAGACGGGATCTCCCCAGGTATGCGATCTCACAAATCCTCATAGAACACATACATGACTTAGCGGATAAGCTGAGGTCCTGAGACCCTCCTGCCTTCAGCTAGTTTCCACATCACTCAGCCTTTTTAAGACAGTGCCTATGCTAAGAGAGGATTTGCAAAGAATCGAATAAGCATGGTGACAGCTCTGTGGCTGTCTGCTGGATTAGAGCCACTTGGAGTTTTAGATAAAAGGCGAGTGCCACGTAGAAGCCACATGAACTAAAAAAAAAAAAAAAAAAAAAAAAAACAGCCTCAGTCTCTCCCCAGCTTCCTCTTCTGTAACACAGGACAATAGCCTTCTGTCCCATCTTCACAGGCTGAGGTGAGAAAATGAGTGTCAAAGGCCTTACCAAATTAAAAAGCGCTACATGTAAGAAATGGATCCTTTTGATGTCTGGCTATAATAAAAGCTAGCTATGGTAGCCCCCACCATCTGCCAACCTTCAGGGGGTACAGTGCAGGTCAGCAGGCTGCCTGCTAGGAGTTGCTGTGAGTGAGCAAAACCTAGATCAGCGCAGGGTGTCCTCCCTAAGGTGTCTTTGTGTGTCCCTCACACCGGAGCTGGTGTGCAGTCCTGAGATGCTGTGAGGCGAGAGACAGCACGGAGCCTTCTCAGTGCTTCAGGAAACTGATGCTGCTTCTCAGTTTGGTTTCTGTCTAGAACTGGAACCCTCTATAGAGAGGTTAGTTTAAAGACCCTTTTAAAAACTCTTGTCTTGAGGGCTTCTCATAAAATCCCATAAAATCTGGTGACAAATAGCCTGCAGAACTGGAGACATCAGGGTGAACTCAGGCGTCTGTATGTGTGCCCTTCAGACATGGATAAATAGATGGATTCCTCCGTAGAAATATCAGCAGGAGAGCACAAGTCCACACCTCCAATGCTCTGCCCACTTGGGGGGTTTAAAATCGGGGACACCCAGTAGCAGTGAGCTTATCAGTGCTCTGACTGGATTTCTCCGCATCACTTTTTAGTGAAAGAAAGCAGAACAGTTGGAGAGTGCCTGATTCTAGGGCTGGAACGGGGACGAACCTGGAACATAATGAAGTGCCCTGAGCCAAAAAGTGTTAACTTGAACGGACGCAGGAGTCGACCCCAGCAGAACTCCCCAAAATGAAACCTGGGACAATATGAGGGACAAAATAAATAGCGCTGACTTTGACAAGCCAGGACAAAAACAAAATATGTATCCTGGAGTTACTTTGAGTTTAATAAAACGTCTGGATAAAGAATAAATGGGTGACTGGGCCCAGGGACAGAGTATGGAGAACAGGATGGAAGGGTGTGGAACACGTTGACCCCACCAACTGTGGAAGGCTCATACACCCAGAAGAGCATTGTGGGTACTCTATGGCCCCTGTCTGGTGTGCTGTGAGGGGTTCATTGTCTCTTTGGTCTTTCTTCCCTGTCCCCAGCCCCATAACTCCAGCAGTGAGAAAGAATATGAGACAAATGCAAATGGAAGGGCAACAGGTCCTAGCAACTAGCCTGAGCTGAACTAGTCAGAGCCGCCACAGTCATGAAAATCACGGAAAGGCAGACGAGCTGTCACAGACCAAGGAGACAAGGGGACGTGACTAAAACAGGGTGCTCTTCTTAGAACAGAAACAGGATGCTGGCGTGGCTTCCAGTGTAACTCAGTACAGCCCACTTGCGAATAAAAGGGAAGGAGTTGCCCTCCTCGCTCCCAGTGGCCAGCTCTAAGTTGCTATTTCTGGTTTTCCAGTCTCCGCTTCCTTTGATGGAAAGCAGCACCTGAGGAGTCTGCCTGTGGTGAACAGCGTGGGCTATGTCCTCCGCTTCCTGACCAAACTGTGCCGCAGCCTCCTGTGTGACAACCTCTTCAGCCACCTGCCCTTCCCCGGGAGTGTCAGTGCCTCTGAGAAGGCCCAGGAGAGAGAGGATGGGAGGACCGAATCGGGTAAGGCACAGTTGTTTTTTCCTGCAGCAGGAGCCCTCCTGCAAGGTTGGCAGATGAGGTAACTTCCTGAGGAGCTATCCTCGAGAGGCCCAGGCCCGTCTCTCTGGGCTCGCAGGAGGACTCTTAACTTACCGGAACTCTGGAGTCCGTACTATACCCATCTGATGCTGCAACATCTCTCAGGCTCCCGAGAGCTGACATGCTAGCTTTGTGGCCTAGAATTTAGACTGTGACCCCAAGGTCACATCTTCTGAGTGATTGTCTTCCCCCCATGTAAGGAAACTCTGGGTAATGGTTCTCCATTGCTGAGGAGTTGAAGGATTCTGAAGCCAAGGAACACGTGGAATTAATTTTCTATACGATCTTGGCATGAGGCTAGCAGAGATACATGGCTTCATTTCACAACCCTGTGCCTTGTTGCATTGATCAAACAGAGATCTGTAGGACATGACCAGGAGCACAGAATGCTTGCTTCCAACTGCTCTAGAAGTCTGTCCTCGGGAGCCAGCTCTAACCCTGACCGTGGATGAAATTTAGGACAAATCTTGGGACTTTTCCAATTCCTTTCATGATACAAAATGTTCTCATTCAACAGCGAATGTACTCAAATTGGTGTGATGCCTAATTTAGTTTCCTCAGAGACCTCCTGTGTTGTCACTTTTCAGGAGTCCCTCGCCTACAGTGGTGAAGGTGGGCGTGGTTGGCTTCTTTCACCAACCCTTGGTGCCTCCCATAAACAGCAAATCCTGATTGATTCCAGAACCCTTCGTAGCAGCATGGGGGAGGAGGAAAGGAAAGAGGCCTCTAGTCTTGACAGACCCTGCTGAGGGTAGCATGGTGGTCCCTGTTTCCAGCAAGTGCTTGAAGCTGATTGTCATGTGTGGACTCTTGAGTGGGTTCTTTGGTCTCCTTACCATCTGTCATCCATTTGCTCCCTGACATGGACAAATATTTGCTGCTTTTTTTTTCTAGTTAGCTGCATACATTGCCTTTGGGGATCAGCTCTACTCTATGTCTCTCTCTGTCTCATTCTCTTTCTTTCTCTGGTCCTGGGGTGTCATGGCCTTGACTTAAACACACTAGGCAAGTATTAAACACCTCATCTCAGCCCTTGGATTTCTGAGGTAGGGTCTAGAACTTGTGGCCCTCCTGACTCCTGTGTGGTGAGCTTCCAGCGGGGTGCTATGATAATGCCTGTCCTTTAGCATGGACCTAAGGCCCTACTGAAGCCCTTTCCTGATGGCCATGTCTGTTTCTTGAGAAAACACATTCTTTATTTGCCCCAACTATCTCAGCACACAGACTGAGCTCTGCAGGGTGTCCCTCTTTTCCTCTGCCAGCTGTCTGGAGTCTTTCAGATTTTCCAAGACTCAGATAGTAATTGAGTATATGGCTCCAGGGGACAGACACCAAACCATTCACACAGCCATGTTGAAGCCACTGGGAATGGACAGTAAATGTCTATATGATGTCACTTCTAGTCAACCTTTTGGTCAGCCTCCTCGGTCTTGTTCACATGTTAGATGCTGGTGATCATTTACTGAATTAACTTCAACACTGCCCCAGCCTGCTCTGTGTGTGAGAGAGAGAGAGAAATATAATATTTGTTGGTGAGCATGATGAAGGAGAGCATAGCGGGAACCCTCAGGAGCACAGGGCCTGCCACTTACCTAACGATCCATGAATGGGGATGTATTTGCACCACAACCATCGTGAATAGGTTGCTGGTGAGGCAGTCTTTGAGATTTGGCTCTTCTGGCATCCAGAGAGCCTGAAGTTGGCCTTTTACGGGACCACAGTAACATGTTCTTTATTCTGCAACTTGGTGCAGATGGACACAATGACTTGACCATTGTGAACCCTGGCTACTGGCCCTGGGTCTTCCCACAGGCCTGTCAGGAGCCTGCCAGTTCCAACACAGGACCGTAAATGATGCTAAAAAGGTGGAGCTCTGCTCCGGCATGAAAGCTATCTTTGTGGCAACTTTACTGTATATTTATTTTCATGACTACAGGAGACATCCACGGCTTTTGAGAAGAGCTGCCTGTACTCATCTGGTGCCATGGAGACACAAAATGGGAATTCATTCTCTTTTTCCTTCTGTCCCAGGTCAATGATGCAGATCTTAGCATCTGTGATACTTCAGCAGAAGAGAGACTTTGGGTACCTCTTGTTTTAATAGTCCTGGTAACATTGGGATCCTCTATAGTCTGAACAAAGAATAGTATCCTAGTTACTTTCTATTGATAATAGAACACCATGACTGGGGCAGCATCTATAAGAAAGCATTTAGTTGGCTTATGGTTTCAGAACATTATCGTCCATGGAGGCAGAACAAGGGCATGGTGGCAGGAACAGCCGAGAACTCACATCTAAAGCTGAAAGCAGGAGGCTTAAAGCACACTGGGAAGAGCATGAGTTTAGATACCTTAAAGCCCAAGGTGACACACCTTCTCCAATAAGGCCACACCTCCTAGTCTTTTCTAAACAATTCCACCAACCGCGGACCAAGTATTCAAACATATGAGCCTATGGGAGCCATTCTCAATCAAACCACTACAAAGAGTTCTACCATCTTCTTTTTGAAAGGCTTCCCTAGTGTTCTCACACTTTTCTTGGTAAATGGTGGCTGGTGTGTTTCAGCCTTAGCCCAAACCAAAACTAAAACAGTCCTGTGTCAACATCTTATCCCTGAGACCAGCAGCATTCCTCAAAGATGAGAGCTGGTTTCTTTCTGAGTCAACTGTGGGGAAATTACATTAGTTGGCTTGTGATCCCTTTCCTGGTTCAAGACAACTTATAAAAAATGGGTGGAGCCAAATCAGCCAGTCTTGTGGCTCTGGGTCCTCATACCCTGAATGCTGCAGAACTGAATGCCTACTTTGTGCTTCACTGACTAAGGACCATTTTTAATTTTCCCAAATTTATTTAGTATGTGTATGAAAGCAGTTTATTTAGGGTGTGGGGAGTGAGGGCTATACTGACTAGTTTTATGACAACTTGACACAAGCTAGAGTCATCAGAGAGTGGGGTGCCTCAATTGAGAATATGCCTCCATGAGATCAGGTTATAACAGGCCAGGCATGGTGGCATACACCTGCAATCCAAACCCTTGGGGAGGCAGAGGCAGTCAGATCTCCGTGACTTCCAGGCCAGCCTGGTCTATGAAACAAGTTCAGAACAGCCAAGGCAACACAGAGAAACACTGTCTCCAAAACAAAACAACAACAAAAAAATCAGATCATAGGCAAGCCTGTAGGGCATTTTCTTAATTAGTGATTGATGAGGGACGGCCCAGCCCATTGTGGTTGGTGCTGTTTCTAGGCTGCTGGTCCTTGGTTCTATAGGAAAGCAGGCTGAGCCAGCCATGAGGAGCAAGCCAGTAAGCAGCACCCTCCACGGCCTCTGTGTCAGTTCCTGCCTCCAGGTTCCTGTTTGTCCTGTCTCACTTCAATGATGGACTACAATGTGGGGGTGTAAGCCAGATAAACCCTTTCTTTCCCAACTTGTTTATTTGAGACAGGGTTTCTCTGAGTAGCCCTGTCTGTCACTCTGTAGACCGGGCTGGCTTCAAACTCAGAGATCTACCTGCTTCTGGTCACGGTGTTTTAGTTTGGCAATAGAAACCCTAACTAAGAGAGGGTGTGTGTGTGTGTGTGTGTATGAAGGTCAAAGGTTGGAAGTCTTTCTCAGTTCCTCTCCACCTTTTTATTAACAGAAAAGATTTATTTTCCCTTTAATTACATGTATGTGTGTGTGAGTGAAGGCCCCCTGGGAGTCTGAAAAGGGCATCAGGTTTTCTGGTGCTGGTTATGGGAGGCTGTGAACTGCCTGACGTAAGTGCTGAGAACACAGGGACGGCTCCTCAGAAGACCAGAGCTGCTCCTGACTGCCGAGCCGTTTCTCTAGCCTCATCACCTTAGTTTCTTAGACTCTCTTATTGAACTTGGAGCTCATTAAGTTGGCTTATTGACGTATGTGTGTGTATGTGTGTGTGTGTGTTTGTGTGTGTGTTTGTGTGTGTGTGCATGCATGTGTATGTTTGTATATATGTGTGTATATATGTGTATCTGTGTGTAGGAGTGTGTATGGATGTGAGCAAGTGTGAGCCTGTATCGTACATGCTAGGTTTCTAACTCGTGTCGTCACACTTTCACCAAAACACTTCACCGACCGAATCACTGCTCCAACCCCCAAATCTATAAAAGAGCAAAAGCATAGGGACTGTTGAGAAAGCAGAGTCAGGACTGTGGGCAGCCCCTTCGCCACCGCCTTCTCTTCCCGTTTGGGTTTCCCATGTGCTTTGGGGTAGAGGCTTGGCAGGGCTGCCCAGTCCCATGGAAGGTGGTCACGAAACCTGCTCCCCTCTCAAGTCCCAAAGGGAATTCATTATTCTAAACAGCTGACTTCAGTCAAGACTGTCTCTGGTCCAACTTTCCAAGGGAGGAAAATCAAACCCGTAGCTTAGAACAAAGTCTCAGGCAAACCAGAAACATGCTGGTGAATGAAATAAATTCAGGTGTCAGGCATTAAAAATGATGGCTGGTCCTGGGCCTCTCTTCAGGGAAGGAAGAATGTAAATGTGCTAAAATGAACCAGAGAGGAGTCAGGGTGGATCCTTGGGCTGAGTAATCCAGCTGGGGGCAAGCTAAGGGAGAAAAATCTATACCGACCAGAGACTAAGTTAATGGAAAATGTAATTGAAGTGAATGAAATGCTCCACCTGTAGGTGGTGTGGCCCCGTGCCCTTTGAACCAGGAAGGCAAGGCATGAGGCCACCGAGGCCCTGAGGGAAAACGAGAATTGCTTATCTCTAAGAACAAGGGCGGGACTAAGCCTGGGAACAGAAAATCTGCCACCAGAGCCTCCTCAAAGGCTGCAGTGGAAGGGTGACTATTTGGTTTCTGCCACCCTTGAGCCCCTTTCGGGGACACAGAAGGTCCCGTGTCCCAGAACATTTGACACGTGCTGGGAGCTGCAGTCTTTGGGAGTGGTGAGCA